TTCTTCTCCCAAGTGACTTGCATATCAAATTGGCACGCGCTGGAATTGACTATGTACATATTTTTCGACATCAGATTTTATTTTCGAGATGGTTACCATAATATATGCGAATCTAATTTTGTTAAGCACATGTTCGATATCAAAAAAGGTTTCTCCTAACCTCGTCAGAAACGTCTGAGCCCTCAGCTGTTATAGTCGCAAACTTTACTCTGTTGGTGCAATAACAATCACGATAGAACAAAACTTTCATACCTAGAATCAACTAGAAGATGCACGCATGCACAGAGATACCGTCAACCTTACTTCCAGCATGTCTCTGGCCTCAGCTGCGGACATATCACTTCGACTCATTATGGGGATAGCCAAATGCTGACCGAAACCTGTGCAGAATTTCAGGTAGGTCGGGGACGATGAAGTTTCAATCTAGTGATATGAAAAACACTAGTGAAAAATATATTTCACGACTACTGCATATCACCGCGAATATCGCGTTTTTTGAAGAGGATTACGCCACTTAACGTAAAACGGGTGATGCCTGATAAATTGGGTCAGAGCTGTTCGCCAGGAACAAGCTTCCCACCGTATTCAATGGTTCACGTGCGCATGCTCTCCGTACGCATATACAGAACAGAGCCTTGCTATCTATGCGCAGTATTGGGGACTCCACATACTACTCCTACCGAATTTACGCCGGCATTCTTACACATTTTCCGCTGCAAACTTCGTAGTTCGTGTTCCTGATTGATCCCACGATGAATTCAGCCTATCTTCTTCTCCTCAGTATCACACAAGTCGAAGCTGAGGTGATTCGGGCACACCCTGGTAGTAGTATGGCACAGCGCATACTTGCGGGTCCTTCCAACTTCTCCTATCCCCCGAACTGCTCGAAGAATGCCAAGCCGAAGGACAAGCCCTTCTGTGCTACTGGGGAACTCGATCTCGGACTGAAATGGGTTGTCAATATCGATACTTACTTCTTCGATGCGTTCGATCCAACCAAAACTGTTCTCTTTGGACTCAATGCTACTATTAATAAAGGTATCCCGGAGTCCCTCGAGGTT